GACTGGGTTCTTTACCCAGGCTTTTGTCTAGGATGATTGCAGCCCCTCTGAGTAATGTCTGTATGTTTTTTGTTGTCTGGTTTTGCCATTTTTTGCTCCTTTGTCCTTATTGTTATATTGTTAATTTTTTCCCTGTGTTTTTACTTCCTGGGTGAACTTCCCAGAGTCTCTGGGAGTTGAATGGTGTTCAGATGTAATAAATCAATAAATGCCACAAAGGCAGGACTCTGGAGAAGATTATTACACAGCTAATAGAGTGGGCTATTGTGGAGATTATAAAGAAATTTTCCTTATGAGTGTATTATAAAATCAAGGGTAGCACGTAAAGAAGGGCAAGATCTAGAAAACTAGTAGTATACTTTTGCTAAACCTAATTAGCTTTTAATGTCCTAGATTACTAATATTGGAAATTGTACATATAGAAGTATGCTGTAGTACAATTAATTCACTTAAATATATTCCATGCAGTCTGTATAGCTTATTTTCAGCAGTGAGCAGAGGATATTTCACAAGAAACACGTAATAGCTGTACTTGATGGGAAGGGAACACTGCTTAGATTTTAAGTTCTTCACAAAGCTGTACAAAAAAATGTAGCAGTCACCACAATTATGACTTTGTGTGTGTGTGTGTGTGTGCGTGCACACACACACACACACATGTACACTCACTTGCTTCCTGCCCAGCCCATTTGTGGTGAAAATGGGAATGGAGGCTTCTTACCACAGAGATGGGATGGGTTAATTTATCACACTTGAACGAATCTCTCCTGTGCTGTAATACCTAGCCCTATTAACACTTTATGTTCTGTGCCTTTTGCCACAGACCTCTAGTTTCAAGTACAGACCATACTGGTACATGACCGTTCAAGTGTGTTTTGTACAGAGATGACATTCACCAAACTAAACTTGCCATTTCTGCATTTGGCTAACCTCAAAGGGCTGCTTCCAATTTCCAGACCTCATCGGTTCTTTACAGTCTTTCAGTGGCTTTTCTCTTTGCTCTTTCTTTAGCGCTGCAGTTTCTTTCTACCAGAGCATTACTACTGTTTCATGTACTGCATTTCTAGAATATCTGAGAGATCAGTGCTAAGGAGGAGGACCATATAATAGATATTGTGGCTGGGCTTACACACTGCATTACATCATAAATTGATTTGTTTGGATTTCGGCTTAGTTTACCCAGTCACTTTAGTTGTAAATCATGTGCAAAACATCCAGTTGTGGCTTGTTCAATCAAACATAATTTCACAAAATAAGACTTTATGTGATTGCATACAGAGACTCTGAATGCTTCAAAGATAATAGTGTTATAATATAAAACTAAAATTTTAAACACTTAAAAACAGAGTCAAACTGGCATATTCCCCATTAAATCTACCCTTTACCAAAATTGAATAAAGTTGTAGTTTTCTTGAAACAACTTTTGTTTAGTTCAAATTTTCAAAAAAAACAACCCACAAACATTTCCAGTAATTTTACTTATGGCTTTTAATTACTGCTGTATTCCAAGACTCCTGGTGGTTTATAATAAACCCATCAGAATCAATAACACATGTACCTACCACAAATATAACTGATAAAATCATCAGTTCAAGTACCCATTATCCTGCAACACTCCTTACAATGAATAATTAAAAGCTCTGCAAAAAAGTGCTGCCTTAACTACCTCACTGAACACTGTCAGAAAGGGGATCATCTAGATCACCAAGGACAGGTTGATTCAAAGGATAGAACGGTGATAGAAATACATTGCTTTTGCCTTCTGTAAACTCATGTACAGCAGGAATCCTCAACATCCCTACTTGGGGTGAGCAGACCAGAGGGTTGGTTCTGCAGATATGGGATACCAAGCCACATAGGACTTTATTGGTTAAATCCAGCATTTTGAATCGTACCTGGAAGCCTATGGAAGCCTATACAGTATCTGCAGAATTGATGTTACATGTTTGTGTTGGCTTTCATCCACCTGTAGATGGCTGGTTGCATTTTTACCAACTGTAGCTTCTGAAGAGTCTCCACAGGCAGCCCCAAGTAGAGTTCGACATAGTAGTCTATTGTGGAAGTGACAAGGGCATGAGTTATGACTGCTAAAGCCTCTGAGTCCAAGGCAAGATGGAACTAGTACACCAGCCAAAGCTGGACAAAGTCTCCCATAATTTTCATTTCCTTCAAAGGTCTGACACATCTGTTGAAATAGCCATGTATCTAGGAGAATTCCCAAGTTGGGGACCTGCTCCTGCAGGGGGATTGCTACTTTCTCCAGAGTCACAAACCTACCTGGTAAACAGTTAGATGGATTCTGGACCAACAGCACTTCTGTCTTACTAGGATTTAACTTCAGTTTGCCCCTTCTCATCCCAGCACCAGATCAGGACTTCTACTGCATTTCCTACCTGGTCTGATATGGAGTTATATCCCTGATTGTCATAAACATATTCCTGATACCTCACTTTGAACCAATATATAATATCTCTCAGTACTTCATGTAGATAATAAAGAAACAGGAGAGAGTTAAACCTTGCTTTATTCCAAATGAGAGAAAATGCTGAATTAACATCTTCTCTCTCTTTAACCAACCAGAATCACCTGGTCAAGAACAAGTAGAACCACCTGTAAAGCAGTGCCCTCTATTCCCAGCCCTATTAGGTGACCCATAAAGATATAACAATCAATATCTATGGCTATATAGGTGCCTAAAAGGATCAAGAGGGGTGGACTCCCATCCAGATCCCAATCAAGATCATCCACCAGAGTGACCTATATGGTTTCCGTCAGCCTATGCTCTGACTGAAAGGGATCTAGATAATAAGGAACCATCAGTAATAATTCCCTAAAACTTTAATATTTCTCAAATCTGATTTCTGTTTTTATTAAGAGTCCTGTGATACTGTAAAGGCAAACAGAATGTTTCTAAAGGGTACTTGCAACAAAATGTTACAGCTGAAGAATTCCTATGCAGACCTCCAGTTCTCCATTCCTCTTCCAGGATACCCCATACCATTCTTTCTTCTCGCTGAATGTTTTTTTCCACTTGTCTCTTTCCAATGATCAACCAGTATCTTGTGGCCATTCAGGATTCTTAGCGTTCATTGGATTCCTTTTGTAATTTCTCAGGGTTTTCCCTAAAATATGTATTTTTTGCTCTTCTGCAATCCTTAGCATCCTCCAAAGTCTGAAACTTTTCTCCGTCTAGATGGTGCTATATATTTTGGCTATATAAAGATCCATGTTTTGGACTGAATATGTGCTCTCCCATATGTACTGAGACTACAACTTCCAGAATCCCCAACTGCAACATTGTTGGACATATTTGATGTCAAGTTCACAAAAGCTTACCCCATTAGGTGTCAACACTTTTTTTGTTGTTTTTGCTTCATCAAACATAGCTGAGATTTTGGTTCCTCCTACTTTTTAGTACATATCTTCTGTTTGTACATATCCTTTCTAGATTACTGATGATTTAAAGCACAGATGCTCACATGAATGTACACCCATGAAATAAGTAAAATTGCAGATATTTAGTTTTAATACTTTCAATCAATTAGGAATGATTCAGGAAATAACAGAAGCTGTATTTTTATTTTCCAACATAACAAAGACTAATCTTTGCAATATAAGGATATGAAAAAAGTACTTAGAACTACAAGCAACTAAAATGTAAGGGCATCTTTTGCTAAATTCAGCAGTATCGGGAGGTGGGAGGGGCATCAAAACAAGCAAGATGGTGAAAGTGGTGTCACAACACCAACCTGCCCCTTTGTACATGTACAAATGCAGCAGAACTTGCATTACTATGCTGTGTCTTCTGTATGTTTTGACCTGTCCTGCAGATGCCACTGGTTAAATTACTGAGGAACAGACTATTAATTATACAAACAGAGGACTGAACTTTGTAGATATTTTTAAAAGGACTAAGGCACCCAAGAATAGACAGGAAATTGACTTTTTAAGATGCATTCTTTTTGGTAAAAATATTAATACAATGTGCATTAACAGTTAGTATTCATTTTATATTTATTTTGATCAGTTATTAGGCTACATTATAAGAAACTGAGTATTGTTCACAAAATAATTTTATTTCACAAGGCAACTAGAGTTTGTGGAACAGTTGAAGAATATGATGAGTGAGGAGGGATATGACAGCACTCTTCAAGTAGCTAAAGGGAAGTCCCACAGATGAAAGCAAGATCTGTTTTCTACTACCCCAGAATGCAGGAAACAGAAAAAGACTTAAGTTAAATTTCAGTTGAATGTTAATAAAAATTTCCTAACTGTGACAGCAGTTACTGCATGTCCTTCACTGGAGATCCATTGTGTAGAAGATGCTTTAATCTGGGTTCTTGCATTAAACAAGGGATTGGACTTGATCGCTTAAATGCCATCTTCCAATATCAGGAATTGCTGATATTCCTTAGAAAAGATCTTTTGTCAGATCAAGGAAAAACTCATTGAGATTTATTTATTTCTATTTGTTTTAGACAATCTGAATACACAGTTCTTAAGGATAACAATACAACTTATTCCCAAATTACTCTGTATCTCAAACTGTGTTTTTGGTTAAGTAACGTAGAAGTTCTTTTTAAGTGCAGAAATTTGTCCCAGATTTTTAAATGAGAAAACACTGCCCTCTTGAGAACAAATGCTGGAATTTTTAAAAAATTTATACCTTGAATACATATTGCTGACAGGAATTGGCTTTAGATATGTTAATAATATACAAAGATATATGTTTATATACATATGCCCTCCATTTTTGCTTATAGTAATTTATCCCCAATTTTTCTCTTAAATAGAATCCTTTCAGTTATAACAAGTTTCTGTTTTTGCCACTTAAAAGACTGTAACATGTAGGAGGGCTTAGAATTCTACACGTCAGATTTTTGGTACTTTAGAGTCTTTTCCTTATAAATACAGTATTTCTAATTCCAATATAAATTATTTGAGGACAAGAAGCACCTGCCTTTCCCACTGCAATATTGTTTTTGCATATAGTTTCGTCATATCATTTTGAATATCTCTGATCAGGTAGCAGCTAGCTCCAAGGTATGCATATGGCAGAAACGAGTTGCTGGATGTGCGCACTTCATTTCTGCCAACATGAGGAACTGCTGGGACAAACAATTAAAGTTGTTCTCTCCGTCCAGCTGCCAAGCAATGAGAATAATTTTAGTAATGGGAACTACTTCTGAAATACCAAAAGGATCCCTTCAAAAAGATGCCATTGAGTTCCAATAATGCTTTAATAAGGTCTCCTTCCTCTAAGTGAAAATTCCTATTTCAAGAATCTTGTACTTCCTGAAATGGGTTGCTTATCCTGGATGAATAACTTGCCTAATCTGACTAAGTCAGCCCAACACTTAGCCAGTGTCAGAAACTGAAGTTCAACATCTGAAAGACTTAATCTCTGAGGTAAAAGGTTATAAGGGGATGAAAGAATTGGGCTTAAGAATGAACTGTTTTTTAAAGATGATTTTAGTTCTTCTGAACATTTACTTCAGGTCCTGAAGAAGCCTTCTTAAATCTGGAATGCTCACCATAAACCATACCAAATGAGCTCTACCCCATTGATGTAATTCAAACAAAGGCTTCTGCAAACATGTACATTTTGATTGATGTTTGCAGGAAATATATTTTCATACATACGGCTGTATGTACAGTTGGTTCTCCTGTGACACAGCTCCATTTTCAGCAGTTTTGCTTAGTCTCTGGTTATGCAAGTTCCATTTCAGGAATAGTGTGTTGGATCATGCACCATGCCAATGCACAAACACGGTAGCTGCCATTTTGTGCTTGTGCAATGGACAAAATGGCAGCTGCCATTCTTGTGCCTTTGTCTGTAAAGTTTATTTAAATCAATTACTTAATCTAGGGACTTCCTGTACAGAAGGACCTACAAAGATTTTCTCAAGACATTCATGCTCTATGCACACGTTTCTGCATCTTATTTTCATTTGAATATCTCAAAATATTTTTAAATGCCAAGCCAAAAAAAAACAAAACAAACAAAAAAAACCCAAACATATCAGCCATTTTAACCATACAAAATGCTACCATTGATGGATAACTTTATTCAAATGTTGTTGGTAAAAAAAACAAAGTATATTTAATTTATAAACAGTCCTTATAAGTCCAGAGCTTAGCTGTGAATCAAAATTCATCATCTGTTTCTGTATCCCATTCACAAGCTTCAAGCTCCTTATCCTGTGGAAACTCCACCTCTACATTGTAGATAAAATCAGGGTCATCTTTTCTTTTTCTGTTCTTTTCAAACAACTCATCCATGATTCTTTTCCTTTGGCCTAGCTCTTCATCATTCAGCTTGTTTAAGTCCTCTTCTGGATCAATTATTTCCTTCTGCTCAACTTGCTTCAAACTCTGACTCAAAGTTTGTCCTTGCAGGTGGCATCTCAACAAATGGTGTAACCTTTTTAGTTGCTCCAGTGACACCCCTTCTAAATATGTCTTGTGCCGAGGATTATTCTTCAGCTGTTCTGCTGCTCTGCTACAGTCTGTAACAAAGGCCAAAATAATGATTATACTTTTAAAAATCTCCAAATAAATTTTGGAAATATGCATTTCAAAGGCTTTCAATAAAATAAATCTGAAATTTATTTTTCTCTTACCATCTGTGTTATCAGAGATTAACACATGGCCAGAGATGTATATTTGTAAGGTGCACACTGATCCAACATAAATCTGAAAGAATTCTGGAATTATTTGGGCTATGCAAATATTCAATGTTTTGTAAAGCAAAGCTGCTGAAATTGGGATTACTGCTTAAGTGAACAGGTCCATGGGAAGTCCTTACAGCAACAGCTCAGAGCCTTTGAAAAGATATGGCACGGTAAAACTTTTAGCAACAAATTCAGACAGTTGCTTCATGAAGCACCTTTCTAAATGGTTCCCAAAGTTTTATTTAATGTCTTAGTACACTTGTCTCTTGTAAATATAGATAATAAAATCAAATTGATTAAATGAAATGAGCAAAATATGGGAACTTAATGAAACAATTTCTTTCCCAAATAAATCCAAATAGACATTGAACACAACATGGTATGTGCATTAAATGTGAAGTAATCAATTACAAGTAGACAACATTGTATCTACTATGTGCTCTAATCCTACCTGTGTTGAGAGAATAATCTGTTTTCTCTAAACCAAGTAGCTCACTATCCAGAAGCTGAATTTCCTAATTTCTCAGGGATTATGTATGTGTTATTTTGAGCAGAGGAACATATATCAGATCAAAAGTGCTCTAGTTCAGCATCCAGTTTCCTATAGAGATTGAATGAATGCCAATGGGAAGCCCACAAAGAAAATATAGGAGTAACAGCTTATTCTTATGGTTGTTCTCTAGGAAACAGTATGTATGTATTTATTTATAATGCTTATATGACCACCCATCTTTAAACCAGAACTCTGGGCGGCTCACAACCATACTGTAAAAACTTACAAAAAGTATTATACAAAAAATAAAAACAGAAAACAAAAACAAAAACAAAAACAGGAAAAAAGATGTATGTATTTATTTATAATGCTTATATGACCACCCATCTTTAAACCAGAACTCTGGGCGGCTCACAACCATACTGTAAAAACTTACAAAAAGTATTATACAAAAAATAAAAACAGAAAACAAAAACAAAAACAAAAACAGGAAAAAAGAAGAAGCATGCTACTCCTCAGTTTGGGGCTAACACAGGCGTTGATAAAATACCAGTGCTAAGTTTGGAATATATCAGTGCTATACCTGAGAACTTGGAGAAATTCCGGATAGGCATGATGCGCTTGCGCACATTGTTCTTAGACCGATCTTCATAGATTAAAACGATGGAGGGAGGCTGTAACTGGACGCCACACTTTTGGGCGACATAAGACATCCTAGCTCCTGCTGTAAAGCTCAGTTAGGAGAGATCCCAGCCATTTATGCCTGAGTTTTGTTTTAAGGAAACTATCCTCGGGACAAGGCAGCGCTGCATTTAAAAGGAGCACCGCGGATTCTTGGCGGTTTATTGGAGCGTTACGCGTAGCGTCGTCCGCCGAGAAGTTCGGGTCCCGGCTGGCAGACAGGCACAGGGCTTCGCATGGGGCCTCATCCAGCACCGCTCGAAGTTGCCCTTTTCTGCCGCATCGTCGGTCCACGAAGCAAAACTCCGGCCTGCTCTTCTTGCCTGCCCGCCCAGAGTGACGCTAAGCACCGGGCGACGAGGAAAGGCGAGGAGGAGAGCGGGCTGCCGGCCAGCCAGAGGCGCGCTGGAGACAGGGTGGTTCGCCGGCTACCAGCTGGTGGCGACGCCACTCCTCCTACCAGCAGGAAGCCGCCACTCAAGGCGGATGAAAGCGGCGCGGTGCGCTCCGCCCCGCCTGGGTGCACGCGCCTATGCCGCCGTAGCTTAGCCCCACTTCCGCCCGTGTCGGCT